TTGAGCTGCTGTCTGTCTGCTACCGAATCGCCCCCTCTTCATCATTCTCCCCACTCTTTTGCCTCTGACAAATTCGTAAATAATTACCAGTGGGGAATCGTCACTGTCAGTTGTCTCTGTTATGTTGACTGTACGACACTGCCTACGACTAATCGATTGAACTTGCAACAGAAACTGTCATCATCACCACTAGCAGCAGCAGCAACACTAGCACTCCCCGACCTAATGACCTCATATTCCACTGTGCCACTATTCTACAAAGTGTCGGCAGTGTACAGTGGAAAATGAGGCAGAAGAAGCAGCATTCGACAGCTGAAGATTAAGATCGAGGTGACTGAGAGAGTGAGAGAAAGAGAAAGTGTGTGCGAGGAAATGGCCTCAATTGGCTACAACTGCTGCTGCTGCTAACCAACAACAACACTATGGCTAGACTGGGAAAAAGTGAAAATTTACGGCAGACCTCAAAAATAGTATCCAAAGCAGAATCTACGCCGTTTTAAATATAGTCTTCAGTGACTGACTGATGATGAAGATTATGAGTGGTGGTGTGCCAGACCATAAACACACAAACGAAGCGTAAATAGGCGACAAAAACTCGTGCGCTCAAAGATGAATATTCGCTTTAAATAAAAGTTTTAAAAAAACTTTGAGGGTATTTCCTTCAAAATTGAAAAGAGCAGCAGCAACTTTCAAAAGTCTATCATTAGAAAGGGCGAGCCGATTGTTGTAGCAGTGAGCAGTGCCTCCAAAAATGGACATGGCACGTGTCAGCAGTGCACAAATTGGCAGTGATGAATGGGAAACAACAGCAACAGTGCCTTGAATGACATATTCATCAAAACTACCAGCAGTTCTAACCAATCATCATCATCACCAAGAACCCTTTCCTTCCCCCTCTGCTATCATCCCAGCCAATCTAGCCAACACAATCAAAAAGATAAGTCTGGACGCTGTGTGGCGGTGATAACTGGCTAGCAGAGAGAGAGAAAAGAGTGTTCTGCTGAACATCACATCAAATCACACACTTTCTGACGCCCACTGCTCACCACCACCACAAACAGCTGAAATTGCCGTCAGTGGTCGTCACTGCAGAAGTACACTCCATAAATGGTCAATGAATGAGGGGGAAGGAAAGATCAACAGCAGCAGCAAACGATGGCAAGCAAATTGCTCAGCTCTAAACAAACGAGAACACTGCGGCAGCAGCCAAACTCAATCTCGAGCCAGGAAAGAAAACAACAGAAATGAGGTAAAGGTCAGGTCAGACGAGAGGAGAAGAAGAAGAAGAAATAAAAATCACCGGATAATCTGGTGAGCAAGATAAAATAAAAAGAGGGGAGAATAAAGAACCGACTCTGTGTGTTCATTGTCTGACGGCGGTGGTAGACATTAGCCATGGCAATTGCCGCAGTGGCCTTCACTTCACTTCACACAAACTGAACAGAGAGGGGAAAGAAGAGAGAACACCGAAACTCGAAGCGCCAAATCCAAAGCTAAAGCTAAGCCAGCCAGTCAGCCAATGTGAGTGGGTGGAAAGGGCGAGCACAACACCATTGCTGAAAAAAACTGTACAGTCGCAGAAAAACTGCAGCCGTACAACTTCGACTTCTGCCTCCACAGCTGGCACTCCCCGGAGAAAGCTACGTAGCTGCAGCAGACTATTTTGGGACTACCGCAGCCAGCCAGGCAAGCAGGCAAGAGACTACTCGGCAGCAGCAGCAGCAGCAGCCAAGTCTGAAGTTAGTTTTTGTTCAGTTTGGCCAAAAGTGGCACAGATGGGGGCCATGAAATAAAACTGATTCCCTCCACCACCACCTCCTCCTCATCCTCTCATAAAAAAGTCTGCACTACGATCGAGTGTCGGTGTCAATGTTACACACACACTCTCAAATGATGGTCGAGTGGCTCTTCTGTCAACCGACTTTTCAATGCTAAGTTTTCGCTCTCTTGATCATGAAATCACTAGAGCAGTAGGCCTAACACTAAACTAACTAAAAGAGGGAAAAAAGACTAAAAAGAGAGAGAACTTACCCTTGTCCAGGTCGGGATCAGGGAGAAAGTCAATGTCCTTAAAGTCGACAAGGTTCTCCTTATTTTGCTGCTTATGCTGCTGATAGGAGTCACTCCACTTGACGTTCTTCCGGGTGCTCTCCCTTGGCGTCGTCGAGGACCGACTCTCCCGCTTCTCCTCTCGCCGGTAGCTGTACTGGACAGCCCCACCGCCGGCCTTTTCACCCGAAGACGAAGAAGGTCGTTTTGAAGAGGAGGAAGAGGAGTGTCGAGAGTGTTCATGATGGGAGTGGCCACTGGAGCAGGAGGCATTGTGCTCATGAAGTGCCGAAGACTCCTGGTTCAGCAGCTTCGACATTGAGCTGCTGCTGCGCACGGGAATGGGCGAGATGGACTGGCGGAGGCTCTCCGACTGCAGCTGCAGACTTCCGCTGCTGCCTCCTCCGCCAATGCTAGCTCCGCTTGCAGGACTTCCGCCATAGCTTCGAGTTTTAGTCGAAGTAGTCGAGGAGGTGAAGGTCTTCTTGTAGCCGGTAATGGCCTCGCCGTTCGGTCCCACGGTGTTGATCTCCTCGTAGGTCGTCGAGCCGCCGCCGCCGTGGTCCGGCGTGCTCGAGCTGAAGAGAAGGTGTTGGTCCGAGGTAGAAGATGAGGAAGGCAGATTGTGGAAGGTCGACGAGGAGGTGGTCGAGGTGGTAGTAGTGCCGCCAAAGGCCGACTCGATGCGCTCCGAGGCGACGTCGGCGCCCGAGTCGATGTCCATCGTTGCCGAAGAAGTTGCTTTGTTGTGCTCTTCTTCAGGCGGTGCCGAAGAAAGTATATTTACGAGTAATATCCGACTATCAATTGAAAGTTGGCTCTGGTTGTTGGTTAGGTTAGTTCGGCGGTGAACAGATGAGGAGGAGGAGGAAGAGAGGAAGAAGAGTGGAAGAAGAAGAGGAATGTCAGTGGTGGCTATAAATAGACCCAGGCAGCAAGAAGAATTCAAGGTTCAGCAGCTGAACAGCAGTGGAATCGGGTGAAGCAGCAGCAGCAGCAGCAGATTGAGGGCGCGATGTGGGTTGCGATGGTGGCCTGTTTGCCTGACTGGTTGCCTGCTAACAGAGTTGCCTTACTTTGGCGAAATAGTAGCAGAAGAAGTCGGAGATGAAGAAGAAGAAGAAGAACTGGTCTAGTCACCCGAAAAAAGAGGAACATGCAAGAAAAACACAAAATTAGAAATGAGTCTTGAGATGATGGTGACTGTTCGGTGTCCTGCAGACGACTGCTGATGCTAATGTAAAGTGTGATTTGAATTGGGCAAACACAACAACAACCTCATCAGCAGTGGCCAGTTTGAAATGAAGTGAAATAGAAGGGGATAGCTAGCTGGAGACCTCCTTGAGACCCACGCTCCAGTGGCAGAGAGGCAGGCAAACTGACTGACTGAATACATTACGGGGATGAAGCCAAGCAAAGTGAAAGGGAGACATACCAAATTTAGGTGACGGAAAGGGCAGCAACTGCAACTGCAGCAGCAGCTGTGGCTGCTACGGCTGTTCTTCTCTGTTGCTATTCCACTGTCTTCACTGTTCTCTGCCAAACGACGACGTCGACGACGAGCTTTGTGAGTAGGTGGGCGCTGCTGAGCTGCAAAGGCAGAAAATCAGTGGCTCGGCGTCGGTGCAGAGGCGAAGATGGCTGTCTTTCTCTGCTGCTTTCCAAAGCTCTTCTAGCTCTGAAGCTCGACCATCAAAGCGGCAAGGAAAGAAGGAGCGAAAAAAGGAGGTGAGGTGAGGCGAGTGCATTTGCATCGGAAGTGGAAAGCGATTGCAATTGTGTGTACAGCAGCAGCAGCGGCAATTTCTTCTTTTTGTGGATTTCTATTTGAAGCAGGGCAAGAGGGGGTGATAAGAAGGGACACCTGCAAATAGGAAAATAGTAAAATAAATGGAGTCATAAAAAAGTTATAATGGGGGTGATTTACTGCTGCCAGTCAATCACAGTTGCCAACTTACTTACTTACTCGTGCTCTCGTGTCTCCTCTAAAGTTGTTGTTGTCATTTCATTTCACAATCTGTGATTTTGAGGCTGCCGCTGCTGCTTCTGACGACACCGAGCAACACATTGAGTACTTTTTAGCAGGTGCCTGCTAAATGGAAAGCGCAGGCTTTGCTGGCCACTGCTGAAACATTATGCCTGTATATGGGCAATCTTGAGCAGAGAGAGAAAAGAGGCAGAAGTGATTGGAGAGGAAGAAACTTGCGGTGTGTTCTCTTCAATAGCTTTAGTAGCTCGGTGTCCACACAGAGTTGCCGAGTTTTCGAAATGACCACTTGATCCAAAAAGAGAGTGTTCGAAGATCAGATTTCACAAAAGGCTTGAGCTTGATTACTCCACAAACATACTTGGAGAACTCTTTCATCCTTACTAAGACTAACACAAAGCCACCACTAGATCGTATTGAGTAGTACTGTTCCATTTCAATTCAATCCATTTCATTGAGCTTTCGTTTATTGATCATCAATTGGGGAGGGAAGAGGATCCTGGTTCAGTGATCTTTGTACATCAAATGTCCTTCATGAGGAGGTCTTGCACTTGAAGATGGCCACGGTGAGGAGAAGCAGGCCGACGATATAGCCAGTGGAAATGCTAAAGCCAAGCAGTATCTGACTGTAGCGCATATCAGGTCCACGGGAGAGAATGTACCGCAGCGAGTTGATGGGCAGCGTCAGCGGCAGGGCGTGGGAGAGGTGCTGTGCCAGGCGGTGCATCGACTCAATCGGCCAGATGATTCCCGAGAAGAAGAAGGCGGGGATGAAGAGCGCTGAAGAGATAAAGAAGTTGAAAAAGATAAGTTGAAGTTCGAAATCAGGAGATGCCAAAACAAAAGCGCGGAAAAAATCGCTGTCGCTGTCGCCGATGGTGCCCGCCACAGAGGACGTAACACAATCGGACTGGAAGTTTCGAAACTCCTTCAAAACAAAAAATTCAAACTCCAAACTCCTTACCTGAGGTGATCATCGCCGCCGCTATCGGCTTCGGACAGATGACGGCGATAAAGAGGCCAAAGGAGATGCCCTGCAGCCCCTGGAGGAAGATCAGCAGCCAGGCAGCGTAAAGGGGGCCTCGAGAGGGCAGGCCAAATAATCGAAAGACGATGAGGAGGATGAGCGCCTGCTGCACCAGGTAGAGCGCCGTCTGGGAGATGTAGTGGGCGGCCAGCAGCTCGATGCCCGACGTTCCGGTGGCCAGACAGCGCTCCTGAAGGCCGGCAACCGCCTCGCGGATGAAGAGGTAGGCGGAGAGGACCAGCGCATAGCTGAAGACGATGGCGCAGAGGAAGCCGGGCAGGAGGAACTCCAAAAAGCGAAAGCGCGTACTCCCGTAGATCACCTCGGTCACCTCAAAGGGCGCAGAGTGGTTCCAGAACCACCAGGGATTGAAGGAGGAGGAAATGGAGGAGGATTGGGGGCAGTTTTGCCTGTAAAAAAGAGGAAAAAGTGTTAGGCTTCTCAGGTTAACCAGAAAACCAGGACTGTTCATTAAATACGTTGCCGAGCAGCTGGCGCCATCTGACGGTCGCAGGAGAGAAGCTGTAGTTCCAAAAGTCACCAAGTGCAACTGGTGGCGCTAAATCCGCGTAACGTACTTTCCGAGCAAATCACGGCAGTTTCGGCATTTTTGGCTAGTCTGGCAGGCTTACAACTACGATAACACTAAGCTTCCATAGACTCCTTAGCACGGCTGCCAGGTTTCTAAAGACTAAACACACAAAAAGATAAACAAACAAGGATTACCTCCAGATAGCCTCGCCAATCAGTCGACTAGACTCGGAGCGGACAAAGCGGCGCATGGAGCTGATAAAGGCGTAGAACATCGTCTGACTGATGACGTAGTTGGACTGGTCGAGGTACAGCTTCACACCAAAGGGCGTTGGCGGAGAGGGAGGAGGAGGATTATCATGGTGATGATCATCACTTGAAGTGCTGAAGTTGCAGTTCAGCACCTGAGAGTTCTGCTGACTAGAAGAGGAGGAAATGGAGGAGGAAAAGGAGTCCAAACTCCCGTTTTGACTAGAAAATGAAGAGGAAGAGGAAGATGAAGAGGATGTTTTGATGGTCCAGGGAACCAGCGCTGCCACCGCCTTCCCTCTCACCACCGCGCCCACCGCATCAGACAGCCGTGCCACATAGGCCGGTGCAAAGATGTGCTCATCGAGGAAGCCGTGCACAAAGGTGGGCCCAAAGTTATCTGCTGAGGAGGAGGAAGAGGAGGCAAAGGCAATGTCCGCCGGGACGGCCACCGGCAGCTGCCGCACCGTCCGCCCAAAGACGATGCACATGAAGACGATCTGCAGGGCGGGAAAGAGAAAGTAGAAGAGGGCAATGGCCGGTGCCTGCCCCCGCATCGTCGCCAGGTTCTTCAGCACCAGCGCCAGCAGCCGCTTCAGGTCGAGGTTGATGAAGCGGGAGAGGTAGGCCGTCCGGCGACGTTCGCAGATGGGCCACTCCGCCATCGGTAGGGTGAAGTGGTGATGGGGGTGATGATTTCGATGAAGGTTTCGATGAGGGTGATGGTTCAGAATCGACCCCAAAGAGTGATTCGAACCGGGTGTTGAAGAGTTGTTCGATTTAGGGTGCATCGACTTTGAGCTGAAGCTGAGCAGATCAGGCGGCTTCAGGCGGTCCAGTATGGGGAACATGTTGTTCGCTGGTGGTTGTGGCTGCTGATTTTCAGTAGAACTTTCTAATTTTATCTCCTCAGTTTTCTCCTCCTCGGTCTTCTCCGCTTCGAGGTAGGGGGCAATGGAGGGCAGGCGGCACTGCCTGATCAGCTCCTTCGTCTCGCACACCCGCTGGTAGAGGGCGTCATAGGTGGGCGCCCCGTAGCGGGTGCGCAGCTCCTCAGGGCGGTCCTCGGCCACTATCGTTCCATCGCGGAGCAGACCGGCCTTGTAGGCGAAGCCAATCTCCTCGGGGTACTGCGTGGTGATGAGCACGGTCAGACCTAGAAGGAAAAAGTAAAAAGAAACAGGTTAACTCCTTTTTAGAACTCCTGAAACTCCAAAAACTCCTTACCTTCTTCCTCACAGAGCCTCTCCAGTCGATTCCAGACGCTCCACCTGATCAGTGGATCGACCATCACCGTCGGCTCGTCCAACAGCAGTAGCGGTGGACTGTGAACCAGTGCCACCGCCAAACTCAGCCTCCACTTCTGTCCCTGGTTACATCGACCCACCTTCACCCCCTGCCCCGGAAGGTGCAGCATGGCGCTGAGGCAGGCGATCCTCTCCTCAATCAGATAGGCGGGCAGCTGATAGAGGCGTCCGTAGTGAGCTAGCGTTTGCCCAACCGTAAGCTCCGGCGCCAGCGTCACCTCCTGCGGCATGTGCCCCACGCAAATCGAACTTAATCGTGAGCCGGTCGATTTTGAAGAGGATGAAGAACATGAGGAGGAGGAGGCTGCTTTGGAGCTGGAAAACACCGACACACTCCCCCC